AAACAATCCATTACGAAAGAACAACTGCGAACCACCACCAGCTGCAACCTACAAATAAAAGTTTCGTGTAAATTTAGATATTTCTTAATGCAAAATTAAAAACAATTTATAATAAACTTTACTGTATTTATATCAAGTTGAGGTGCTTGGATGGTTATTCCCGCAGTAGTCGTTTCGAAAACATGTTCATATAGACCATCAAATCGAGAAACATCTAAATTTGAACGATAATGTAATACTTGTTTCGAAAAAAGTCTATACCTTAATATAAAACACGAACCTGTACTAGTACCTCCCATATCGAAACCAATTACTGGATCACGTTCATTCTCACTAAATGATGTTGATGCGTAGCCTGACCATAAATTCACGATTAATTAACAAGTGAATGCGTCAAAACACAACAACATTAATGAGGTAAAGTACCAACCAACGACACCGCCCGCGGGTCCTGACAATATGGCCTTAAATCCAGAGAATTTATTAACTGGTACAAGACCACCATCACTTTGCATAAATTCTAGCCTTGTATTTTTTTCCATGTTTTCATCGAATCCAGAAACGAATCCATCAATGTATTTACGAATACATGGTGTTAGGTACGCATCGGCTGTTGAGGATGTACCACGAGATACAATTTTAATCATTGGCATTACAGCGGAAGAAAGAGAAATATGTGTAAATCCGACTGTGGACGCTATTGAGCCTAATAAACGTTCATGATCTTTGTTTCATAATATTAATTGAATAATAAAACGTTTAGTTTATAAGGAATCTTTAAATAGAAATGACGGCAATCTTATGTTTACCTGGAAATGTGTACGAATGCATTAGACATATCGCGATGCTTCGAAATCCATCCTCATATAATGATTGTAGATCATTCTTTATCTTGTTAGTATCTAATTGAATTAAAAATATGCTTAGCACTTGTAGTATGAACTCATGTATAACTTATGTATAACTCATGTATAATTCATGTGTAAAAAATTATGTACCTGGTTTTTGAAGTACCTTTACATATTCTCCAGAAATGCCTTTAATTATATCGGCACCGTCATTTGCTAGATCAGCCGGTGGCTGTGATTCATCCCCGACCAAGGTTACACTATTTTTACATGAGAAAATAATTTGATAACTCGAAACACGTTGGAAAAGTAACATATCAATGGAAAAAATTACGATACCGCTCATCTATTTCCACAACTCGTTGATACAAAACGTCGGGTTTGTGGATGGAAAGATCAAATATTTTGGGACGAGCCTGATTTCCTGTTTATCAATAATAAATTTATGTTAAAATACAATTCGACTGATAAGAAAGGAATTGCACAATATATGTATAATTATTAATACCGATCAATAATAAATCCTGAAGTAACATGTTTAAAAGTAATCAAATTTTAGCATTCTATGACATTAAAACCTGTATCTTTATCAGAACAGAAAGAGTAAACCATACCTTAAAACCTTTGGTAATCAGCAGTGCACATTTTTCTCCTTTCCTTTCTAATAGAGCATTGGTAGCAACGGTCGTTCCCATTCGAATTAACTCTAAAAATTAGAAATATAAAACATAATTTATAAAAACTTCAAATAGGTACAAACAACTTGCAATTTTCTTTACACAATACCTATAAGAGAGGTGTCCACTGGTTTATTTCTCGGGTGAGGTTTTCCGGTAGCAATTTCTAATATTCTTCTAATACCTTCGCGAGGAGCGTCAGGGTAATTCTGAGGATCATCACTTAGAAGTTTTATTACAATTTCACGTCTTCCTGTTGGGTATTCTTTGGAAGTTGGAACTGGGACTATACCGATACAATCGGTAAACGTACCACCTCTATCAATACTTATTCTTATTCCTGGACCTTGTCTTGTTGACATGATTAAAAAAATATATATATATTTTTGAAAGAAATTGAAGTTTTTACAAGATCTGTACTTGATCTCGATCGATATTTATTATTTTATCGTCATATTTACTACTATCGTCATCGTTACTTAAATAAAGTCCAGAAATGGAAATTAATTTATTGTCATGATCTTTCGGCATTGAATTTTCCTTTTTTTCATTGTATAACGAATGATATTTTCTTTATATTACCAATTTTCATTTTGCAAAAATTTTAAGTTTTTTCCCAAAATGCGGGCGCATAAATTTTTATTTTCAAATAAATACACTTATTTCCAAAATAGATATGAAATAAAATTTTTTTAAATTTTGATAAATTTTTTTTAGATAGATAAAGATAATAATGTACACACTAAATAATAATAATATACATGCAAAAATAAAGAAATAAATTGATAAATAACTATTGAAAAAAATTCGCTAATTTACATGACACTGCACTCATAAAGATAATTAATCAACATGATATTGTGCAATAAAATCGAAATGCTTTCCATCCGAAGAAAATACTAATTTCCAATCACCCTTTTGATCAACTTTTGTATCAAGCCCATAAGTAAAGCTTCCATCTTGACATTTCGATATTTTGTGAAATTTTCGGATATTTTTCTCCGGAGAAAATAAAGAGAATTCGGGATGTTGTTCTTCTTTCATATCAAATATTGTGAATTCAAATTTATATTCTTTATTGTATTTTAGGTTTAAATGAGTTGGCTTTTCGATGCTAAATTTGAATGGAACTCTGAAGGTCTTGACAAATGGACTATAATTTTTTCCGCTTCCTTTGTTTACGACCCTGAAACATGCGGCTAATGGACCCTATAAACGGAATAGGAAAATTAAAATCAATTTGATCAATTATAGGAATTTAATAAAAAAGTTAATTGATCAATTATAGGTATTAAATAAAGAGATAGCTTACCTTGTTACCTTCAAACATCACATATATTTCAAGTTTTCCTTCACCACGACTTGGACACGCAGTTTGCAGCCTATAGACTTTTCCTGAACTTGCATCATATCCAACCACTCTTTGAATCATGACATCAACCTCTTTACCATTCCATAAAAGTATTGCATGCAATGGTTGACCTTCATCAGGATGATATCTTGTAATTTCAAAATCGATCAAGTCATCATTAGTAGTAATAGTATGTCCAATGTATTCACGGAATTCCATGCCAGCAGCAAAGAATGGTGGTTTAACATTATTCAAATTAAGGAATTCTTCTTTAGTAAGTGGAGGAGACAGATATTGTTCCTTTTCATCATCAGGTAAGTGAGTGAATATGAAAGAGGTTGGACGTGTGAGGAAATAAAATGGTTCAAAACGTTTTTCAAATGTTTTGTCAGTTAAATGTCCAGCACCCCAAGTACTATCGATAAAAAGAAATTCTCCTTTATATGTAGTACAATTCCACGCGTGAGCATATTTTTTATTATCAATACTATCACCAGGTATATAGTGGACGCCTGATTTATTGATCACGTGATTAGGTTAAGATAATGAAGACCACAAATTAATATCACTAATATCAAAACCAACCTTTGGCTTTGCCCTTGACTTTCCAAACTTTCAATCCAGCATTTTTAGCTAATTCACTAAATAATTCTGCGAATCCATCACAAACACATTTACGTCTTTTCAAAGCCTCCTCAGCACTACAATGTTTGAGGTTTCCTATTAGGAAAAAAAACTTTTTTTTAATAAGAAAATATAATAAATTACATTCAAGAAATCTTATTGTACCTGAAAAGAAGGCTTCGGTATCATATGAGATGTTATCAGCGATCCAAACATAAATTGAACGTAATTTATCTAAAGGATTGTTCCAACGAGAAGTAAGCTGCTTGGACAAACATGCGATAGAGCGAGT